CTCCGAGCTCAGTACTTTATGGGTACTTCACTTCACTCAGCCCATGAACTTATGGGACTGGTTTTGTGCGAGAGGAGTTTTTGGGCTGCTAACATATAGGGCTGATGTGAAGTTTCTAAGACTTTGTACGGGAATATTTTGAAGTAAATTTATCCTCGTTATAAACACCATTTTTCTTTTTTGTAGTTATTAATTGAATCTTTCATTAAAATAATTTAATATGCAATACTGGCATTTTACACATGTTGTATATACATGTGCATTACATACATGTGTGCCTGTGCCTACTTACCATCCTGCCAGTGCCTGAAGGGGCTACAAGGAAGCTGGGGGGGACTTTTTACAAGGGTCTGTAGTGACAGGACAAGGGGGAACGGGTTTAAATTGAAAGTGGGGAGGTTTAGATTAGATATCAGGAAGAAGTTCTTCCCGGAGAGAGTGGTGAGGCACTGGGACAGGTTGCCCAGAGAAGCTGTGGATGCCCCATCCCTGGAAGTGTTCAAGGCCAGGCTGGATGAGGCTTTGAGCAACCTGGTCTAGTGGAAGGTGTCCCTGCCCATGGCAGGGGGGTTGGAACTGGATGGTCTTTAAGGTCCCTTCCAACACAAACCGTTCTGTGATTCTATGATTCTATGATTCCTTACCTGTAAACAGAAGAAGCTTATGTTTCTGTTCAGAGCACTTGGCTGAGGGCAGAGAGGAGTCATCTTTGATGCTTCTCGTAGTCAGATAACGCTAGTCATGCCCACAGATGTCATGGTAGGCGGCAAGGAAATGGAAGGAAGATGTGTGAAGACACATATTGCACTGAAGAAGAAAATGACTGAAAATAAAATCGACAGTAAGACTGCAAAGCAAATTCCTCAGGAGCCCAACCAAAACTTGCCCTACTGGACTGTGAGTCAAAATATCTTGGTGCCTGGTAGTAAACAGCTTGAGCTGTGTCTCCCTTAATTTATGGGTTAGTACTATTAACGTATGCATATTTTGCTAAAGCTGTGTGACAGCCTCTCTCCCAGTTTTCCCTGTCACCTCTCTCATCACAGCAGAAGCATTTCCTACTCCACACCAGTCAGAAAAGAAGAAAGTGGAACCACACAATAGCAAATACATAATCAACAGGCTGATAACCTCCCACTGGGACAGCCTAAATTCCACCCATGTGACGCTTCCTATGAGCTAGCATAGGCCTTCAGATGTACCTTGCCTGTACAGAATGGTAGCCTCAAGGACACAAGTCAAATATCAGAATAAGGCCAGGAGTGTTCTTCCCCACCTGAAGAATCGGCCTACACATCCTTTTTATTGCTTCAGGTGTCTTTTTACTGTCCTGTTTTGCAGGTATTCCTCTTGCTCCTGTCCATCTGCACCTCTGCCAAGAAAGCAGCCTGCTGCAGGTTTGATTGTGTCTCGAGCTCTGATATGCAACATCTGAGGATATGCAACCTGAACACCTGTGTACTCTAGCTCCTTGTGCTAGTCACAGTCTTGTCTGCCCTGGACAAGGTAAAACTCCAGTACATAGGCATCCATGACTAATTTCCCTTCACCCTATTACTCAGAATGAAGAGTCCTACATCAGAGTATTGTACTTAAACCTCACACTCACATGACACAAATGCAACTGGAGTTTTGTTACTACATCTGTATTGCTAAATAGACTGAGGACAAGGAGCAAAGTTTAATGCTGGACAACTGATTCTTCATAATGCTACATTGCCAGCAAGGTTTTGGCATAGTTCTGGCCAAGGCCAACTAGCAACTCCACAGCAATCCCTGGGCACCAGGAGAACCTCTAGCTACCTAGCACACACCAGGGTCTGCTTTCAATAGCAAGCTAGATTTGGGTCTCTTCCTCCTCTTCCAACACTATGCCAACAGGCTCTACAGCCTCAAAGCACTCCTCTGTGTCCTTCTCCCAAGTCCCAAGGCATGTAATACATCTTCCAGTTTCATACTATACAAACAACAGTTTTATGGCAACAATACAGTTTTCCTGTTATATCAAATAATTTGACATAAAAAAGACAGAAAAATTACAACGAAGTATTACAGCCAAGTGCATTACATAGACCCTTGAGGAGACCCATGGCACAAGCGCTGTATAGGCTAGATGTGACCTAGACACTTGGTCTCAGGGCCAGAAAACAATCCCCGTCCCTGTTCTGTTTTGTGGACTAGACAGGGCCTATACGGCCTACACCCAGGGCTGACGAGGAAGAATCAGACCCATTTTTACTCTGTGTGCCTTCAAGTGAGGCAGGGCCTCCCATAACCCTGATATGGCTGATGAAATGACTCTGGTGAAAAGCAGCTGATGCAAGTTCATGCTGGCTGTCATAACCCAAAACAAGCAGTTTCTTTGGGTGTGAGGGGCTTCCTTCTACCTAGACAGACCATGTTTCCTGGCTACCAAAGGAAGAACAGAGGCGAGAGGAGTCAGGAGGGAGGGCAGCACTGGAAAAGCAGGCCATTTGTCCGCCCTCCCACAGAGCCAGTTAGGCCTCTGCAAGCAGCTGTGCCAGCTTCTGACCACCATCAATACGTCAATTCTGCTGCTCAAAATCACAAGCTTACTTTGGGTTCGTGTGTGCACCTCCCAGGCATGTAAACGTGGGTAATTCTCCATTGGTATTGACAGCTGGTGCACTCAACAGCAACACACAGGGAGTAGCCAACATAGTTCCCTTCCCACCAGCCCCCTGCGGCAGTGTCATATTGGACATAGCTGTAATAGAAAGGTTAAAAGAAACCTTGCTGAAAAGAGATGAGAAAGTATCGACTTTATGTTTAGACCGTGCCCGGGGCTGCAGTGGGATGAGCTGGGGGGATGGAGAGCAGAAAGAGTGATTGAAACTGCCTCTCCTCTTCCTCTTGTTGGCAGAACTGTGTGAGGCTATTGGCTTGGTGGTGGCATTTGACCTTGCTTTTCCTTGCCTGGCTGGGAGACACCCCCCCCAAGTTTGGAGGGTCTGTACATGGAATATGAAGAGGATGATGATATTTTATTTGCAAAATGGATGAGCAGCTTCTGGGGCCACAACTTGATTGATGAGAATGAGAAAGAGGGTAGAGGCCACAAGAAACGTCAGAAACAACCCTTTAGCGAAAGGAGAGCCTCCCTGCCGGTAAGAGCTGTGTGCAGTTTTCTCTGTGTGTCCATGTGTGTGTGGTTTATGCATAAATAAAAGTGCCATTCCCAGGGGCACGGCTCTAGAGATCTGTGAGGAGGAGTAGGGTACACCTTGCGGAGTAAGTCCAGCTCCTGTTGGCAATAGCTAGTTGCTTTTCAAACTTAGCTGTCTCTGGTGCCTTTGGCATACAAGAAAACTGGAAAACTCCAAGATAAGTAACAATAGGACCCGAAATGTAAGGAGAAGGGTGTAATAACTGCTTAACTATGTATTACAATGTTATTTTGTCTGCTAAGCATGACCTGGCAGAGACCAAAACATTTTGGAAACTGGCACACAAACATTGGCTTCAATGAACCTGTTGTCAGGTGTAAAACTACATAAGCCTGTACGTGTTCACAGGAGTTGGACCTAATTCTGCAACTATACCATCTCCGGGAAGTTGTATGCTTTACTCCCTGGGATTTAGCTTTTTGTGGGTGTAATTTAAGCTAGAGGATAAGTCCCTTCTTGTTTAAAACATCTGACACTGAAAATAAGAATGCAACACATAACATTATACTGTGAAGTAAGATTTTAAGGGAGACGCAATTTCTTTATTCTTAAACCAACAAAATAGTTGAGAAAGGGGCAGGGTTCGTGCACAGAGGAAGATTTTTTAGGCAGCTCACAACTGTCTAACCAGATATCAAAATGAAGTTAAGACAAAAGCAGCTGTTCCCAGTCTGCACTTTACTTGAAGGCTGCTGCTTTTATTTCAGCCCTAAAAAAATTTTGAGGTAGTTAGGAAAAATGAAACAGGGTTGGACTACATGAGATGGCTTACCAAAGATACGATGTTTCATTACAAACAATTTTTCACTTACATCCCAACAAAGCAATGCTATTTTATAAGGGTTAAACAGCTGATCTTTTCCAGACTCTTTTTTTCCTGCCATGCTGTATTTCCACCTTCCAAGTTCCTCTCCTCTGGAGTTGCCATGTTCTAAACTGCGGGATTTTTTGTTTTCAAAAAAATTGGCTAAGAAAAATAAAACAGACTAAAACCACTTCCCCCCTCTTTGAATTCATGGGCAGGTTAGAGAGATAACCTTCATTCATTAGTTTTGAACTGATAAGCCACATTTGTTATTTACAGTTGTATTTCGCCCTGGTCACAGATTGCAAGACAGACTCTGAGCTAGAGCCGTGCTGATGGATTCCATCAGAGTGCCTGAAAACAGAATGTTTAGTAATGTTGTTTGTTTGATTTTTTTAAATTAATTTTACTGTATTTTAATTCTGCCCTTCAGAGATCTACATATATGTGATTTCTTTAGGCCTCAATACAGAATGAAATGTAAGAATGTACTTTAAATCACTGTTTATTCAGCAAGCTGCTGAACACGTTTTCGTGTGTATTTGCGTGTGTACACATACATTTCATTTGAAGCATGTTCTTATATTCGGTTTGTTCAACAGCTGTTTAAATACTTAGCTAATAGCTATTCAAATACTTTGCATAGTTGCATACCTGAATCAACACCTAGAACTTGGATTAAGTTACCTTACAGGAAGAGCAGACTGACTTGACATTACTGTTCAATGAGCTAAAGCTATCCTAATACACCTATCTATGTCTGGCCTTTACATGAATGCTCCACACAAATTTATCTTACTCTAGTAGTATTATATGAAACATAAATTTCAATTCTATTTCTTTATTTCTCAGTGCCAGAAACTGACCGGAGGAATGAAAAGGGAAGATTTGTTTGGGGATTTTATGATTTGGGAATAAATTTTGAGATTAATCTTTTTTATTCAGAAATCTCTGAGTAGTTAGTAGCAAAGAACACTAAAACATGTTGTCTTAAACCAAATCTAGAAGTTAAACAAATGGGCAATAATAATTCCTTAGAAATACCTTCAGAAAAAGCACATCCTTGTTGAGAAAAATAACTTGCTCTTGCACCAGATGTGCACTTTTTACACAATTATTATAAATTATAATTACTGTAAGATTAATTATTACAAATGACAACCACTGTAGGATTCAAAACCATTATCAGTGTTCGTTAAATACTGTCTTCATTTTACCAGAACAGTGCTATCAATCAGGAGGATTAATTACTGAGACCAGACTGCATCTCTTCTGTAAGTTAATACCTCCACAGCAGATCACAGTGTACTCTTTCTTCCGTGTCAACATCGTAAATGGAGATAACACCACTGTCCTGGTGAAAATCAAATCAGCAGGTTCTGATTGACAGGGATGTTGGCAAAAATTCCCTGTGCAGACACAATGGTACTACAAAAACAGCACTGCCAGCACGCTTTGTCTCGTCTCCAGGGCTGGTACACAGTGCATCAGCAGCGGTGCAGTCTTGCCCACTGTTAACTGCATCCACACCAGGAGTGTTTTGGTATGACATAGCAAAACGCTAGCAGTATAGCACAAAAGGTGGTTTTGCATAACACTGGAAATCGCTTTCAGCTCTAAATCGGTATTTTGGTCTTCCTAGTTTTTTCTGTTCTGTAGAAAGACATTCAAGCCACTGCTCTCCCCTCAAACACAAAGGTAAACTCTGGTGGCATCCTATCATGGCAGAGGCCCCAAAATATAAAATAAAGCTTTGTAGAACAACTCCCAAACTAACAACAATTTTCATTGTTTTGGTTTTTTTTCTTCCCAAACACCTTAGTATACCTCACAAGCATTACTGAGATGAGCTTTGCAAAATGCTTTTGCTATTGTCATTTCCATAGTGCAGCGGGGAACACAAAAGTATATTAATTCTTCACCGGGTCACTGGCAAGACAGGCTAAAACTTGCAACTCCACTCCCCTGAAAAGCATCAGAATTGAATATGTTGCCCCTGAATGCAAAAACTGCCTGGGGAGAACCAAGTCATCTGTTTTCATGCCCTTTAGTTAACTTGTTCCACTTGCAAAATTTAGATGCGTTGTGATACCCTTTTGAAACCTCCAGCTACGACTTTCCTTGACATATTCTAGTCATCTTCCATCACTTTAGTTCAGGCTAGTTTCTTACCTCCCAGATATTTTGTTGTGGGGAAAAGATAAGAAGCAGAGGAGCACCGGAAAGAGTTTTACAACCCTATAAATGTATCCACCTTCAAGCAGACATTGCTGCTCACAGGAAAAAAATGTGATAAGAAACAGCTGAGAGTGGGAGCAGACTGCTGTTGAAGTCAGACCAAACATCTAACACCATATTGTTACTACGGATCAGTTGGAGCCTAGGCCAAAACATTTTTAAGCAATATATGTTTGGCTATAAGCTTCTCAGAAGGAAAGCAAGCTGTGGGACAGCATCTGAATGTCAGATGTTCCAAAACATCCCTAAAGTACCGGGGTCATTGTGTAAACTTCAGTAAACAATGAACACTTGTGCTGACACACTGAAGATTAATTTTCTTACTGACAGCTGTGCAAGCCCTCAGATCAAACCCAAAAGATGGAAACAATTATCTTGTCTCCACCAGACACTGAGAAAGAGAATAGGCAAATTATATTGACATCTATTTCTTGAGATATCTTTGTTTGTGTACTTTCTGTGTGTTTTAGCTGGCCAATTAGCAAAAGATTAGCTGTTGTGCAGATACACAAAGCATGACTGGCCTTTACACAAGGGCTCAAGCAGAAAAAGGGAGTACTAAAGGGAGGGAGAAACAACCCCTGAGAACATGCTTGGTGCTTTCCCAGCTTTAGCAAAAATTCTGCATTTTGATATAGGGGAGCAATATCATTCCTCCTTCCCATCCCTTTTCCCTTGTTTCACGTCCTCACCACTTCTCCGGTATAAGAACTACTCAAGGGCAGACCCTAGGAGCCAGAGACCAAGGGGAGCTTGGAAAAGAGGCACCAGATGTAGGCACGCGGGCGCTGCTGGGGCAAGGCAGGAGCAGATGCTGGGAGCTCAGAGCTGGGTGCTCAGAGCCTTTGGCCAGGGCAGACAGCAGCCCTGGGTGGCCAGCGGTGGGCAGGCACAGAGGCTACCTCTGTTGCCAGCAGCTGCTGAGACTTCAGGAGGCAAAGCATCAATTAAAGCAGTCTCCAGCCGTCCTTATTTACGATGTTACCACACAATCAGTTTGGCACCAAATGCACGTATTTAAGATGTCAGAAACAGAAGAAAGCCGCATGGATTTTATGTACAGTCAGTGCCAGATCTGCTTCATCGCTGAGCTTCCTTTTATAACTCTCTTAGTTCTCCAGAGAGTCAGTCTTAAATAATAATAATAAAAAAGACTCATACACTGTTCTAGTTATAAGCCATGAAATGTTTGTGCTTGAGCAGTTGTGTCAAGGCTCCTGTCCTCTGTGGGGCTGTGTCTGTAGGGCAGGAGCAGGCTGTCCTAGCTACGGTGGTACGTGTCACGCAAAGGCTCTATCACAGTAACAGGATTGCAGAGATACGTGTGCGTAGCTCTACCCTTAGTCCACTGAGGCAGATACACGTTTCAGGGGAAGGCCCGTCCCTTTTCCTGACCATTGCTGCCATGTCAGTATGGGAACTGCAGTCTTTTTATTGAGGGCTTAACTTTAATTCTATCTGTGAAGGGGAATTAAAAAATAGTGTCTTAGTAAAATAAAACGTTTGCAAACATTGCAAAATAGGACTGATAGAATACCATCCCCTGTTTCAGCTCTCCTGTCTTTTTTTCCCCAAACACTCTAAGAACAAGTACCAGTGATTTATAGTGTGAGACAATTTTTAATTCCAGGAGACAATACATGCTGATTCCATTAAAATGACACAGAAGACATGGAGCTGGCTGAACTTGACATAGCATGTGTACTTCTGTCCCTCAAGCACAATGTGATTGCTTTGATGCTTTTTAAAACAACAATACAATATGACCTTACAGACATTACAGCTGTATTGATTGGTTTGAAACCAAAATAAAAATAGTATGGCAGCAATCATGGCCACTGCTCTTGGGGGCAGCCCGTACTAGTTACTGAAGTAAGCTTATGTCTGGAAAAGAAATTGAACCGGTACAGTATGATCTGAAAATCTTTTGGTGTTGGGTGTTTCTGTCAGGTGTAAGATTTATTATTTTTAGCACCTCTCATCAAGCCTGTCTACTGTGGTGTAGTCACAACCGTGTGGATGCACAGCCTCACGATTCAGAGGGAGGCTGCACAGGTCCCTGTTGTGCTGATACATTTATAATAGGATCTGTTCCAGCATGAATGCAAATGTGTACAGGAGATGTTTCAGATGACACCTGCAGGGGTCTCATTTTCAGCACCTCCCATCTCTCTCTCACAATTTTCACTACCTGCATCTGAACCAATGTTCAGCTACTCACCCTGAAAAATCACCAACAGCTAGCAGGGTTTGGGGCATGCTCTGGCCTCTACATGGTGGCCTTCTCACCCACCTCTCCTACAAGTCTATTTCTAAAACCACCAATACATGACTCCATAGGACACAGCAGTTCTGTATCAGTTTAATCTCCTTTCAATGAAACACAGCTGATGCAGAGCAATAGCTTTTACTGGCATGTCAGGCCTGGGAAAATGGAACCACATGGAAACTAAATAACTCTCTGCTCCCACTCCACTTTAGCCCTATAAATGTAGTTGTAGGAAGCCTGTTTCCTACTATTTCTGTGGTAGGAATGTGTCCCTCAGTGCCCTGAAAGTGCTCCCTCACCAGTTCAGGACAAACATTCCCAAGAAACCAGCAGAAAATTCAGACCTGGACAATAGAGTGCCTTGTCTGGATGGAGGCTGTGCTGCAAATTCGGCACAAGTGGGCTAGAAATGGTTCCTGACACTCTCAAATAAACTCAAACATCTGATCAGACCTGGGGCACCTGTGGGTGAAACCCAGTATCTGGATCATCTAGCCACAAAAGTCGGGGTCTTTGCTTTTTGAGAGTCCTGCCAAGAACCATTCGCCAGATGTGAGGCCTGAACTTCTGGGTTTACGAAGGGTCCCAATTCCTTTTAGTGTCAGTGGGCACTAAGAGGGCTCAGTACGCTTTACATCTGAAATGCTTATTTGAGTGCTAAAACTTATATACTAAATACAGGAATTCTGCTTCTGTCCCTGGAAAGTAAACTCCGGGCAGTGTGATTCTCCTGTGCGTAACAGGAAAGATGCAGGAGTCTGGGCCATGTCCTTCATTCTGCACCACTGTTCAGAGAGCACCCTGTGGCAGAGAGAATCTGCCCTGTGCACTCTGCTTTAATATTCAGTACTGAAAGAAGACCTCTTGTTTTTCAGGCCAGGCTTTCTTCCCTCCGTACAACACGACTTCATGCTTCTACCAAAGGCTCATCTTCAGGCCATCTCAAGGGCTCCAAGGAATTTCAAGAAGACCAGAACGTCTTGTGCCACTGCCACAGAAAGGCAAGCAGAACACCTTCAGCAGATAGCTCGTGCCCAGAGACAAGGTCTAACTCCATCCAGGAATTTGCCGAGTCCTTTGAAAAGCAATTGCATCTCAAAAGCAAACGCTCAGTTTCTTTGGTAGGTACAATCAGCTTAAGCAGAAGAAACAAACAAACAACAAGCAAGCCAGCTTTATCCCTGGTGTAATAGCTGTGGCTTTGCTGGGGGAAGAGCAGAAATAAACTTGAATTAGAATTTCTGAAATGATGTGGTCGTTGCAGTAGTGCAAACAAGGTTAAAGTGGTAGCACCATTAGTATGAGAATTCTTGATGTAGTGTTACCATCTAGAGTTATTACAAAATGTTTGTCTTCAAAATGAGACACCACACTGGCTGTGGCAACGTTTCCAGAGTTTTCTACGGCTGTGCCAACACAATGTGACAATGTAAAACCAGGTTTGCTTCACTTTTACCATGAGACCCAGCTCCTCCACTGCTGCTGACCTGGTTTAAACATACACAGTGGTATCTGTGAGACTGCCAGACATCGTGGTGTTTGAGAGGCTTCTCTTTTACCCCTTGGGACTCCATCCATCTGCTTCCCTCACTGTCACCACTCAGCTGCAGCAGCAACGATGGCTGTAAGTGGCTGGATGTGTTTTCTCTGCAAGGGCATGCAGCCAGCAGGGGATTCTCCCCGTTTCATCCTTCTCTTCTTCCCATCATTCTGTCCTGAGGTGTGAGCATTTTCTGTATGGTTTGTGTTAATGAAGCAGTCGATAACAACCTTTTCTCTATGACAACTTAACACATTTCTGTTATTATGACACATATTTTCTGGCGTATCATACAGTAGAAGGAAGCATAATAAGCCCTAACCCACTTAACGTATGAGAAGAACACTGTCAAATTAAGACACTATTGGAAAAAACTGTGCTTGAATAACGCTTGACATTAGCACCAAGTAATAGCAGAAGGAAGTATAATTTTGTTTCAATTTGTTGACACTGACAATTTTATACGGAGCAGTAATTTTCAGCTCCCTTTGCAGATCTTCGGCACAGCAACAAAAGAGGAAAAAGATCTCTTTTCAGTAAGCAGGATCATCACACGATCAGTCCCACAATTATTGTCCTTGCATGCCCGGTCCTCTAAGAATATGCAGGATATGGTGATGACAACTCTGTTATGCAATTGTTAAGATTTTAAGTGCATTTTCTAATAATCTTCTTCCCCCTTAGGAACTACTCCCAACTTGATTCATTTGGAACTTCACATTGCCTCATTTGCCAACCCTCACCAGTGGTTGTCTGGTTTATCATTTCTCATTGCTCAAAAGTGCCTATGGCTAGAAAGTTTGCGAGTGGGTAATAGCGGTATGATAGTTATAGTGAGCATAATGCACCAAATACGGCTTCCATTCCAGTTAAAACATGGATTCTGGTATCCTCCTGTAACCCTCAGTGAAGTGTGCTGGGCTGTATTTTAATCTACCCTTCAAGCAGACTAAGTTACTGTTCCCTCAGTCACCACTGACGTTTGAGACATGTGAAGGGCTTGAGAATCGGGAAGAACTGAACGATAAGTGTTGGACATCTGAAAGGAAATCTGGGAGTGGGCTTAAGCTTGGAGCTCCAAATGGAGCATTGGTTTTGCATTCAGAACTCTGTGAGTGCAATTCAAACCACCCTTTACATGACTACATGGGTTAGAAGAAAAGTGGGGGAAAGTTAATCCCATTTCATCAAAAAAATTCACTTACAGGAGTGGCTTTAAGGACATTTCAAGACCTTCAGCCCTTGTTTTCAGTGAGGTCTTTGCAGTTAGCCATGAACGGCCTTCAGGCACATAAAGGTGTATCATGTTAAGGGACAGAAACGCCGAGTCTGGGCTGAAATCTGAGTCCCTTCCTTCTCCCCCCCTTTCTCCGTTCCCCACTCAAGCTTCCCAGGCAGGCGACCTTCCTGCCATACATAGAGTATAATCAAAAGCACGTTGCTTCTTGCTGAGTTTTAGAGTGACTGGCTGGGGCCTTGAATTTGAGCCCATCATGTTAAAGCTGATCTGGCTGAGGTAAGCAACTGGAATATTTTATTATACATTACTAGTTAAAGAAAAAAAAAAAGATGTTGATGCTCATGTGGGAGTTGGTTTTCATTCCTTGCTATTTTTCTCCTACCTTTCAGCAACCTGAAGACATGAAGGAGAGAAGAGAGAGATTGCATCTGAGAAAAAGCAAGTCTCACAAGAGAATGGGAGAGAAATCAGAGCCAAGGAGAGAGCAGAAAGAAGATGAAGGTTCAGAAGTTGTACCTGCAAAACACAACGAACAGTTTCCAACACAAGCAAGCATTGAGAAAAGATATTTATGCACAGGCAGCTAGATGGGTTGGGATAATGAATTTTAACACTCTCCCTGAAGAGCAGGGGGAGCATTCCCATTTTGTTTTGACTAGAAGAGGCCTGTTAGCTAGAATAAACCCTGACCTGTAAAATAGAAGTAAAATTCAGCCGCATCATTGACACCATGTTGCTACCTTCCTGTCTGTACTTTTTCCATTAGGAATGTGATCCTTGTCATAGAAGGAGTGTATCTGGAGCAAGATCCAAGTTAGCAATGAACAACCGTGAGAGGGTTTCAGCCAGATTTAGTATTGCAGCAGGACAGTGGTGGATGTGTTCGTTTAAGTAGAGGGCATGTATGTATTACAGAACTGTGCAAAGTCATCCAAAGCCTTATGTTTCTCTTCTAATTGAAAATAGGCTTATTGGACATCCCTTTTTTAGGAAGGAAAAAGTATATATAAACTGCCACCTGCTTCCTGGCCTTGACATTCACATAGATTTGGTTTGGAAATAGGTAACTTCTTTCTTTTACATTATCTCAACACCAAATTCACTCATCATCTTGACTTTTTTGGTGGCCTTCCCCCCTCCATTTACTACTTAAATGTCTGGGCTAAATCCACACCCAGAGCTACCAATGTCTTTTGCTATATCTTTGGTTTTGCCCCATCAAAATTTGGGCCTTGCTGAAAGTTTTCCAGTGAAAACAGAAATATTCTACCTCTCATACTACTATATACTCTCTTCAAGGTGTTTGCCATAAGTGATGGATTGCAACCTTTTTCACTTTTTCCCTTTTCTAGAATTAGGGACAAACCAAGGGAATGGGAATTGGTTGTGTCTAGGGTAAGGAGGGCTTAAGAAAATTCTATTTCCTCTGGCTGAAGGTCTGAACTAGGTATATAAATCTCACCAACTACAAGTAACATTTCCTTCTATGCAGAGGAGATCCACCTCCACATGCTCTTAAACACACACACACCCCCACAATCCCCATGCCCTGCTGCTTCAACATGTAAGTCTTCCCTGCGGAGAAGAACCCTGTCCTCTGGGAATAATTTCCCAAGGCCTAGTATAGAGAAAGCCTGCTTTGGATGGCACAGTTAGAGTCGAGTGAAGCCTAATGAAGTCATGAGCAAAAGTCAAAGTCTGCTTCTTTCTGTGATTTCCTGTAATTAACAAAGATCTTATTATTTTACTTTAGAACCTTAATTTTGAATATTCAACCTTTAAAAAGCTTAGGGCATCCTTGAAACTTTGTAACATGTATCTCCATTAAAGGATTTTTTTTTTCTTTTTAAGTAGGGCTTTGCAGGGGGATATATAAGAAAGAAATCAAACCCTTGCTGATGCTTGTACATTGCTTCTTGCCTGGTAACATATGTTGTAAACTAATAAATCTGACTGAAAATTGTTGTTCCTATGCATGGTTCCTGTCCTCCCCAGTTCAGATTGGATTTTCATGAAGCTCTTCTGTAGCCAAAACTTCCATGCAGATGGCTTTCCTATTATAGCCTTAATTTGAAGACTGCATGATGGTAGACCTGGGTAGAAAGGGACACGGCCAGCTATGCCTGAGTTCCTCAGATAAAACCTCTCACATACATCTTTTCACACAGCAGCCTGCTCATGTTCAGGTTAACTCACCAGGCCCAGCTGTATCCCAGCAAAATTCGCAATAAGCTTCTTTTCCTGTGACTAACATGCTGGTTGTACACCACACCTGATGGAAGGAAAACACCAAAAAGAGCTAAAAGAGAAAACCCATGTGAGCCTGGCTGTGACTTGCTCTCGACTCTGTCAAGCACTGCTGCCGCTGAGGCAGCCTCGCAGCTCTGCCTGCAAACAGCCCCCGTGTTAGCACTGGATCCCACCTTGCAACTGGGAGGGTTTCTGACGGTCTGTCCTTTCTGAACTGGCCCGTCAGCCCTGCGGTGTGACTCTGGGAACAGATGGTTTCCAGTAACGCCTCCAACATTGCCCTCCTTAAATTGCTAAAACCTGTTTACTCGGAAGTGTTTTCTCCTGCTTCACATCATGCCTGGTGGAACAAACAGCGCTTTCCAGCTTAGTCCCATCTAGGCTGATACAATAGTGTTACTTAGAAAGACTGCAACTTGCATGATAGAACGAAATAATTCTCCACAGAAATGAACAATTATTCCATAATCAGGCCTTTTGGAAGGAAGGCAATCATCCGAAGGGCAATCTGATTGGAATAGCATGGCTGATACTTGTATCTCCACAGAAAGTGGGATTGGGATGTATGGGCAGTCAGAAGGACTCCAGAGGGGTTTCATTTTCACAGTAGGTCATGAGTTCAGTCATGTCTGACATAAAGAATAGGCAATGCTTTGATTCCCATCCCTGATCCCCAGAGCAGCTGTGCGGGCTGTGGACCTCTCCTGCACACACCCCCACACCTCTGCAAACACCATTTGCTTTTCCTGCTCTGTCCAAGAGCGGGATGGCTACAGGTTGCATCAGGGTCCAAACCTCGGACACAGTCAGGTAGTCAGGTAGTGGGAAGCAAAGACAAAGGGACCAGAAAATATAATTTCCCAAATGCTCATCCACAGATAATGTTGAAAACCTGAAACATCAGAGGGGAGCCAGGAGGACGCCTCCGCTGCGGGCTGGCTATTGAAAGCTGACGTGACTCAGAGGCCTGCGAGGGACATATGGGTTTAAATTGAAAGTGGGGAGGTTTAGAGTAGATATCAGGAAGAAATTCTGCCCGGAGAGGGTGGTGAAGCACTGGCACAGGTTGCCCAGAGGTGTTGTGGATGCCCCATCCCTGGAAGTGTTCAAGGCCAGGCTGGATGAGGCTTGGAGCAACCTGGTCTAGTGGAAGGTGTCCCTGCCCATGGCAGGGGGGTTGGAACTGGATGGTCTTTAAGGTCCTTTCCAACCCAAACCGTTCTATGGTTCTATGACTGTGAACTTGCTGGGTCTCACGGGTGGGAGACCATGCTCTGGTAAAACACTTGTCTCCCTGGATCTTTCCCACAGCTTCAGGCTAACTAGAAAGTGCTCCCGTGGGATATTAGGGCATGGGCACAGACAAGCATTTCAGGAGCAAGATCCAGTTATGCTGCAGTGTTTCCTGAGAGGGCTGAGAAGAGAACATCAAGTGTGGTTGCTTCTACATCTTCTAGGTGGGCATTCCCAGAGCAAAATATTTATGCTTGAGTGCTTCTGAGGTATTGCTTAATTGCAGCATCATTTTGATGATGGATTAAATTTCAGGTACTTGTTAACGTATCACATACAAAATGCCAGATCCTACAAAGGCAAAACGAAGCAACAGGTGTGTTTACATACATGCTCTCAACACTGCTTTCTTGGAAAAAAGGGAAAATATTTAAATGCATAAATAAAATGAAACAACCATGATGTATAACTGAACAAGAATATAATACCCATTTAAAAAGAAACCTATTAGTAAATATGAAAAAATTGAAATGTTCATCTGTACATTTTTGTTCATTAGAGCAAAAGAAGGTTTTGGGGTAAGCACAGCCCTGGCTCTGGATGCATTCAGTGTACATAGGAATAATATAAACTCAGATAGAGATATAATAGAACCTGATAACCAGAATTATTCACCCAGAAATGAATCATAATCATGGGACCTGGAGTTTATACAGCTATCTGCCAAAACCGTTGAAAACACACAAGTCTTGAAATATGTCCAGAAGCATGTTGCAGCCAAAATCTAGTCATTCAATGAGAGAAGTGAATATTGATATCCAACAAAACTCATAGGTAGCGCCCTGTCTGCTGTTGCTGTGTCAGAGCTTTAGGTAACCGTGTATGAGTATATGCCAAAATAAACTCACTCATCATAGAAAACATTGCTTGTAGGGTGTTGATTTTCATTTACTCTGTTATTTTAGATTGGATTGACAGATGATATTCCTCCTATTAGGAGGATCCCTCTGAATCCTAGGCCAGTCTCTACTGTACTTTGGAAAAAGACAGCTTCTCTCAGCTGTCTCTTGTCTCTCAGGCCAGGCAGAAAATAGGAGGAAGTGATACAGGGAGAATCAAAGACTAGTATTCTGTCATATTTGATGCATTCTTGTCCTTCTTATATATTTGTTGAAATGCTTTAGTTCATGCAATTCCTAAACTGTGATGGAGTTCTGCTGTATAGAGAAGATCCACCGAAACTTATGACAGTCATACATGAATTTTCATTAGAAAGCACATGGAGTCCTTATGCAGAGGTGTCAGCTTGGTGCATTCGTCCTCTTCCTGATGCTGAGGTATCAAAAAGGAGTTCTCTTTTTGCTCCAAAGCTTGAGCAGAAGGATGCATGGACACCATTCCCTTGGGCTTCCCTGCAACCATATCCCACTGCACTGAGTGGATGCTTGGTCGTTTGGAAAACAACCTTTCCTGGGCCTTTAAGCAACAGATCTCAGCTGATATTCTGCTTGTCCTATGAGCACAAAATACATGTTAAGTGCCTCACATAAGCATTTTACATCTAGTGTGTCTACTCCCTGAGGACTCTTACACAGAGAATTTTGGCTATTAGAAAGCAGCTGGAGTGATTTTAGGTTAGTCTTCCCACAGCTAGCACAAGTTCATGCCTGGGAGAGAGGAATGGCTATGGCACTCCTTTGTGTTGATGGTCACAGCAGCAATGAAATGTCCTCAGGGAGAGCAAAGTAACTTTGGGCTGCTCTCACCTGTGTGGGAGTGAAAATGACAAGTTAGCACAGAACTTGGGATGCCAAAAAATAATCATTAATTCCTTCTCCTATGTGCCAAGTTCTACCTACCCACAGCTGGAAGTGAGGCCACTTCCAATATCAGATTTTCCATTCCTTTAGCTCCTTTTGCATGGAATAAATTTAGTCCCATGGCTGTATAATCCAGGTCTCAACTATATGGTCAACAAATGCCATCCATAATGTTCATTGCCCCCTCAGGTTATCCATTACAATTTGATTACCTAATCAAAACCAATTCTGAGCTGAGCTCATTCAGGACTGATAAAAATTTCCGTTCACTTGAAGGAGGAAGATTTGGATCCGTGTGTTATTTGTCATGATGACTTAGGGAATGTCAGCAGCACAGAACTTCCCAGCATCCACAGCTTTCACAAAGAGGTATTGTGAAAAACCCTTAGGGCCTTATTTTTTGTTATATGCAACACAGAGA